ACCCCCCCCCCCCCCTCTAAAACAAGAAAACATTTTATGGCTCTTTGTTGTAGGTACACCTGTTCCATTATTTTCTATGGGATATACACTAGGCTTGTGCAAGGTTTAATGCGCAGAGGAAGATCTGTAAAAACTAGAGGAAACTATGTTCTCCACAACTGTGAGGAACCTGCCCGTAGCAATCCAGCTTCTTGTGTTATTCTCTTTGAAAATAAAACAAAAATCTAATCAGTCACTATGGGCAAATTGTTCATTTTGTTGTGAACTTATGCCCTGCATAACTGTAATGTGTTTTACTGCAATGCACAGGTCTCAGTGGGCCCCCTGACACCAACAGAACATTTTTCTGGCAGCCCATCTAAAATGAAGCTGATCTTCCCACATTACTGACTTATCATGCCTTGTTCTGCTTGGTCTGTGTGTTGAGGAGGCCATCCTGGTAGAGACAAGTCTTTGCTTCCTTAGGTCAGAGCTGCCCCCCTTCCCAATAAATGACAGAAATTTCAAGAAGCTGGAGAGGTGTAGAACGAAGGAGATGCATGCAGTGCCGATTCCTCTCCAGCAAGCAGAACAGTAATGACACCACCAAATTTGAATTCCAATCTTGTGATACTAGCAGTCAGAGGCAGCAGTGTCTCACACAGCTATGAGGCCGCAGGCACAGGAGTGTCTTGGCACACTCGCATAACACGACTTAAGGCAAAAGGTAGATTTTTAGCACTGCTCTGGCACAATTAACATTTCGAGATGTTCTCTACAACATTCTTCCCCTCACTACAGGACATACAAGTCAGTGAGAAGACCACTGTGTGTTGTTGGGGTAACTGCTATTTGTCTGAATACTTGCATTGGCCAGGAAGCAGCAAAGTAGGCCACCGGAAGGGTAAGTACATTCCCTCTTCTTTTAGCAGGTATGCCCTTGGACACAAAAGTGATCCTGTGCTGACAGGTCACTTTAATGAGAGCAGAAATGGCCTAATACAGGTGATGCTCAAACTGGTTATCAATACTAGCTTTTATTAATATATTCATGGGCAGCCACCTTAGGCTTTTTGAAAAGATATGAGGAGACTCACCCAATCTGGCCTAAAGTGGCTGGCAAGGGCAAAAAAAAAAAAAACCCCAAATAGATTCTACTCAAATGACTATTGCTGTTTTCCATAGATAAGGCTAGTACTGCATTTTCTCATTTCCATTTGGTTGAAACTACTGTGCGTGTTTCTTTTAGGAACTGACAGCCATATCCGTGGCTTCTAACAAGTCATGTTTGGGTACGGTACATATCTCCAGTCACAGAAAGGTCTGCTAGAAAAACGGAGGGATTTGCAGCTTCTTGACAGACGGCAGGCTGGTAGGTGCCCAACCATTACCTACTTAAACTGTAGAAGGATTTAATGAGTGGCACTTGAGATGCTTCTATACAATAGTCAAGTGTTAAAGGCTGCACACTGCCGATTCTGTGCACATTCATATCAAATGCAGCAATGATTATAAACGTTTCCTCTGATGAATAAATCAAGCAACACATCTGGCACAATAAAGGTGACAGAATAAAAGAACACTTTACTTACTGGATCAAAGACTAACATCCTGCAAAGTAGATGAACAGCTTCATGAGTGGCCTGGCTGGACAGTGTGTACAGGACAGGAAGAGATGGCTGTAGAAATAAAAAAAAGAAAACACAGGAGATGTTACATGCCTGAGTTATGCACAAAAAGTGCTGAATAGCCTCAAATCTTTCCTGTTATGCAAGCTGACTGAAATTACCAATCTGTGTGATGGATGCACGCAGTAAGCCAACGCTGCACTTCTGTCTTCTCAATTTAGTGTCATGCAGGCACAGTATCACACTGAGAATCTTATCATATTTTAAAACAAACTTGCCCTTGAAAAGGAACCCTGAGTCTCTGTAATATTTATACTGCTGCAAATCTTTTACTGTATGCTTGTATAAATCCCAGAATGCTGCATGTTAGAAGAAGAATGCCAAAAACGGTTTACAGGGAAATAAAACTTTGTGGAATTCCATGCGGGATCAGCTGGTGTAAGTGCAATGAATACGTCTCCATGGTAAATTCGCCTATGTAAGGGCCTGTGTACAATCGTGTAAGTGGCAATCTTCTTCCTCTCCTTTGTAGTTCAAGAAAATTAGAGATGGGAAAAGATCGTTATGCATTGACATACAGTAGCTTATGTCAACAACTGCTACCAGACAACTGCCGTCCAGGGTCTTCATGGGGGGAGCGCAATAATTTCTGTGCAAAGCTCAACTTGTCTTACTTCTTTAATATGGGGACGACTTTACCAAATATTCATTAGGACAGCTGTAGTGCTCACCTTTTATTATATAATTGTCTTTAAGCTGAACTTCTGTACAGTCCACACTAAAGTAAGCGGTTTAGCATGGAGCTGGTGTCCGTTCTGTATGGGCAATGTTCACTTTTTTTTCACTTTATTGAACTGTCACATTGACATTAACATTTCATTAATTTCTATGCACTGGGAGGAGGTGCAGTGCGGGGATGGACATGCATTTTGCGCACCTCTCTGCTCCGCTCTGTTGTGGAGTGAACAGGACACAAAGAACATCATTGTTTTCTTTGTGCCGAGGTTGCCTACCCCTGCTCTATATAAAGATCATCTGACCTGTTAAAGGGGTACTTTTACGTG